AAGAAGAATAACATACTGTACTCACTGCTTAACTGTGTTTCTAGATCACGCTCATTTCAGGTAAATTTACATGCAGTGTGAAGATACCAGCATAATAAAGATCACTAGCATTAGCATGCTAACACAACAATGCAGTGCAAGTTGTTTTGGTTTCATGCTGGAGCTCAAGGGCGACATCTGCTGGATCAAAAAATAACATATAAAACCTTTAAGAGGGAGAAGATGATGCATCGTTTTTGGATCTATTAGCGACCACAGTCCATTCTCAGAGAGTCAGTATTTCATCTATTGTTGTATCCCTCAGTAGCCATGGTAACCACTGAAGTATGTTACACACAGGTTGATAAAACAGCCCTGATATCACCCAGCAGACACATGTCATAGGGGAGAAGAAGTAGGGGATGAGAAGGATGGTGCAGGAAACAGGGCAGAGGTCATTGTGGATGCAGTGGTTCCTGTCAGCACACTTTAGATCTGACTCTGCCTCAGTCTCCCGCTCTGATCCTCCTCAGTTAGACTGAACATCTGACCCGCTCAGACGCCATCACTCCGAAGAATCTGTCGGCCGACCTTCAGAAAAAACATCCTCCAAAGATTTAGGTCAAAACATCCAGATACAGAAAAAAAAATGTTCTTCTTCTGCAACTGCACCCCCGCCCTAAACTGTGTTTGTCTTTTTAAGGAGAAAGACACTGCCCCCTCCTCAACCTGCTCTGCAATGACTCACACACACACACACACACACACACACACACACACACACACGCACACACAGCAAACGACTTGTATTTCAATAAAGTCACTGTTGATTGAGGTCGTCAAAATGTTCAAAACTTAATTACATTTCAGTACCACAGCTTTGTAAACTATAAGAATCCATCAAAAAACTGCAGACAGACTCCTGCACAAAATCCTTGACAACATATCCACAACGAATCATTGCAAATGTTTTTGTGCAACTCAGACAGTGTGCAGGAGTTTGTCTGCAACTCAAAACAATAAATAAGTCTTTAATGGTTGGATGGATGAATTGGAGAATTCAGACACAGAGACGTCCTTCAATCACAGACTCTGCTGTGAGTTGAAGAGATGCCGTGTGTGTGCGTGCGTGCGTGCGTGTGTGTGTGTGTGTGTGTGTGTGACACAGTTTGTGTGTGTGTGTCTTCGATCTGTCCTCAGAAGGGGATTCTGCTGTACATCATGTAAACTGATGATGTCATTGTTTTGGCACAGCCTTTTAGTGTATACAGTATGTGTGTGTGTGTGTGTGTGTGTCTGTGTGTGTGTGTGTGTGTGTGTGTGTGTGTGTGTGTGTGTGTGTGTGTGTGTGTGTGTGTGTGTGTCTGTGTGTGAATGAACACGCTACACTGCCATATGAGGAGGTGAGAGAGAGAGGGAGAGAGAGAGGTTGCAAAGTAAATCAGATCCTGAGTGGTCGTGCATGCGTGTGTGTGCGCGTGTGTGTGTGTGTGTGTGTGTGTGTGTGTGTGTGTGTGTGAATGCCTGATCACCTGGATGTGTACGAGGTTTTATATGCTGTGATGCTGCATTAATGTTTCATTAACAGTCTGTGTGAATGGTTGTCACAGGTCAACAGAACAGAGCTTTTAAGCCTCGTTTAGCTCCTAGTTTTGGTTTCGCAGCAAACCTCTCACTCAGATTTGCAGACAGAAACTTTTCCTCTGAATCTGCAGCTCCCTCGACTCGATGTTTTATCCTGGGGTTCACTCTCATCTTTTTGTTTATCTTTGAAAAAGAAAGTGCAAAAAACTTGCAGTTCCTCCAGTGTCCACTAGAGTCTGTCTCCTGCAGTGAGTCAGTCCCCATAGAGCTCTATGTTAAAATGTCCAACTTTACAGTTGCAGTTCCTCCAGTGTCCACTAGAGTCTGTCTCCTGCAGTGAGTCAGTCTCCATAGAGCCCCATGTTAAAATGTCTAACTTTACAGCTGCAGTTCCTCCAGTGTCCACTAGAGTCTGTCTCCTGCAGTGAGTCAGTCCTCATAGAGCTCCATGTTAAAATGTCTAACTTTACAGCTGCAGTTCCTCCAGTGTCCACTAGAGTCTGTCTCCTGCAGTGAGTCAGTCCCCATAGAGCTCTATGTTAAAATGTCTAACTTTACAGCTGCAGTTCCTCCAGTGTCCACTAGAGTCTGTCTCCTGCAGGGAGTCAGTCCTCATAGAGCTCCATGTTAAAATGTTTAACTTTACAGCTGCAGTTCCTCCAGTGTCCACTAGAGTCTGTCTCCTGCAGGGAGTCAGTCCTCATAGAGCTCCATGTTAAAATGTTTAACTTTACAGCAGGAATAAACATGTTTATTAGTTGCTGTCCCCAGCAATGTTTTCCTCCTGGGGGATCCCAATGTGTTCCCAGTCCAGAAGGGATATATAATCCCTCCGGCGAGCTCTGACTCTACCCCTGGTTCTCCTCCTAGTTTGATGTGCGAGGCGACCAGGAAGCATCCTTAACAGTTGCCCAAAAATCACCTGTTTACATATTACAGCTTAAAGTGATGTGTCTTTGAGTGACAGGTGGGAGCTGCTAAGTGTCCCCTCAGCTGATTCAGTCACTGACCTTTAACCTCTGGGTCGTGTTTGTGCTGTTGTAGAGATTTTTTTAATGTAAATATCTAACAAATAATCAGTGTGATTTTAAATACATGACGTTCTATCGTTTGGTTCAAACACAGGACTGACTCCGAGGATGAACTTTAACTTCAGTCAGCGGTGATGTTATTTTTCCCTGATGAATATCTGGCCTCTGATTGGCCGCGTCCCTGTGGACAGAGGACAGTTGGACCGGTGTGTAACGGGATCTGTTTGTGTTGGTTAATGAGAGTGGATCAATCAGTACCTCAGTGATGGAAGAATAGAGGAGACACAGCTGAGAATGGAGACGCAGACGACTCAGGAGGACTGAAGCATGTTTGTGAGTCAGCTGCACACGTTGAACACACAATGACCCTCTGATAATGAAGCGCTGCAGGCAGAGGCAGGACGCCAGTATCAGATAAAGAAGAAGGTTTTAGAGCTACACATCTCAGGACGCTGCTCAACAGGCGTCCCAGAGTGACATCATTCATGCTGCAAGTTTAATGGATCTCCTTTAAAAAATAACATGCTAGGCTTTTATTTTGAATTTTTGTAATTTCTAAAGCTGAGAGTTCTTTACTTGCTGTGTGCTTTTATTTTGAAATAAAGTAAGGGCCTTCCTGTAGATGGAAGGTTAAAGACAGGAAGTTCAGCACAGAAACAGGAAGTGGTTAGGGATCCCAAAACTGACGGTCAAACAGCTCAAAGGAACGGTAACAAAGGTCAATGTGTGATGACATCAGGTCAATGTGTGATGACATCAGGTCAATGTGTGATGTCATCAGGGCAATGTGTGATGTCATCAGGTCAATTTGTGATGTCATCAGGTCAATGTGTGATGACATAGGTCAATGTGTGATGTCATAGGTCAATGTGTGATGTCATAGGTTAATGTGTGATGTCATAAGGTGAATGTGTGATGCCATAAGGTCAATGTGTGATGTCATAAGGTCAATGTGTGATGTCATAAGGTGGATATTACTGTCTGAGAGTTTGTTAAAGTGAAATGAGACATTCAAAGATGCAGCAGTGTTCTTCGTTTACATCACTGAGACTACAGGGAGACACTGAGGACGACTATCTACGGAGAACCTGAAGGGACAAACAGGAGAAGTCGCACTAACACAATGAATCCACTTTTTTTTGAGTGTGAGGTCGGTCTGTGAGGAGTTGAGGTGGCCATCAGTCTCTGAGTGCAGACGGATCATTTCAGCACCGACTGACTGCTGCTGACAGTCAACACAGCTGGACTTCATCAGTCACACACACACACACACACACACACACACACACACACACACACACACACACACACACACACACACAGCTCTGGGTACCATAAGGAACAAGAAGAAACAAAAAGGTTAAACAGTAAAACTCATCTCCTCATCACTTCATACTGTGTATACATCACGCTCACTTTTACCCGAAGCGGGTCAGTAGGTGAGGTCACCAGTCCAACCAGTCCAACCAGTCAGACCAGTCTGCTATCACCTGTCATCATGCACAAGAATAAAAATCTGCTGACTGTTTTCCGTGCTGAGCGTCATGTGTGAACACAAACATCTGAATGTTTCTCTCTTCACCTGGTGTTTCTCCTCCAGCCTTGATAGAAAGACACATATTCTCATCATAGAGTCCTATGGAGGAGTCTGCTGCTTCGTCTTACCTCAGGAGACTCCGCCTCCCCGCTTCCTGTGTGACAGGGATAGCCTCCTGCTGTGAGGTGCATGTGTGAACAACCAGATCAGGAGGATATCAGGAGCAGTCTAACTGAAATTCACCTCCAAAATAAAGTTAATTTGAGTTTGTTGATCTTGAGGAATTTACTCGCCATCACAGGAAAACTAGCGTTGTAATCTCGAGGTTAAGATAAATAAACTGAGATCGTGAGAAAACAGGAAACGGCGTCAGAGGAAATGTGTAGACGCATGTCCTCTTAGGGCTTCCGTCTCTTTTTGTATAAACTCTGAAAGCAGGGCTGTAAACACCTCGTCTCTAAAAACACTTCCTGCAGATTTTCAAATTAAAAGTACCTGACTGCTGATCAGCTCACTACATTTTAATGGAGCCCCACATGTCAGCGGGGCAGAAGGCGAGGAGTCAGACTGTCACTGAACTCTGTCTGACCTTTAACTGACTCACTGGGATAACGTCTGTTCTCTGTTGATCAGACTGGGACGGTCCCAGTGAGCCCAGTTCACAAAGTGTGTGTGTTCCTGACGGCTACAGATCACAGGCAGAGAGAGGGAGGAATGCTGTGAATGATGGGAGAAAGCTCGGCTGCCACGCTAGCCCTCTGATTGGCTGCTTCCCTCGGGGCCTGCCCTATAAGGAATCAAGAGAGGGAGAGAAGGAAAGGAAGAGGAGGAGGGAGAGAGGGAGGAGGCCCCGCTCCATGTTTGGGATGGAGGGATGGATGGAGGAGGTGGAGGGTTGATAAAGTCACTCTCAGCAGGTCGGACGCTCACTTCTGTCCTGCCCCGCCCTCACGTCCCAGCAGGCCCTGCACTGCCACGGTAAGAACCTCCATCTCCTCCAAACCGTCTCCTTTACCATCTCCTTCATTGCCTCCTTTTCATCTTCTCTTACACTCCTGTTTGCTCTTTTTGAATTGCTAAAAAAGTGCAGACCATCTGCTTCTAACTTGTCTTTTGATCATCTTTTCTGCTCCAAAATCATGTCCTCCTCCTCTGTATCGCCTCCTCTTCACCTCCTCTACACCTCCTTTGCTCTCTCCTTCATCACCTCCTCTTAAACTCCTATTTACTCTTTTCGTTTTAAATTTGCAAAAGATGCAAAATAGCTTTTCTTCTGTCTCCTCTTAGATCATCTTCTTTGCTCCTAAACCATCTCACCTCCTCCATCACCTCCTTCACTGTCTCCTCCATCATCTCCTTTACTGTCTCCTCCATTACCTCCTTTACTGTCTCCTCCATCATCTCCTTTACTGTCTCCTCCATTATCTCCTTTACTGTCTCCTCCATCACCTCCTTTACTGTCTCCTCCATCACCTCCTCCATCATCTCCTTTACTGTCTCCTCCATCACCTCCTCCTCCACTCCTCTTTGCTCTCTTGTTATATTTGACAAAACTTTCAAAAATTGTGAGACGTCCTCTTCTGTCTTGTCTTAGATCTTTCTTTCTCGCCTCCTCCTCACCTCCTCTTTGCTCCTTAACTGTCTCCTCCATCACTTCCTCTTTGAATCCTAGTTGATCTAATCATGTTTCATTTGAAAGGTGCAAAACATCTTCTTCTGACTCCTCTTTGGTCATCTTCTCACCTCCTCCATCACCTCCTCTTTGCTCTCTTGGGGCTAAATATAACCTTAATTATCTTCTCTTGCCCTCCTAGTCATCGCCTCCTTCTTCACCTCCTATTTCCTCTCCTCTATCTCCTCCTCACTTCCTCTCACAATCCTATTTGCTCCTCTTCAAAATCTGTCCTCAGTCACCTCCTCCTGCAGATCCATATCCATCACCTCCTTTTTCTGAACCTCACCCTCTCCTTCCTTAACTCCTCCTCTCACAACCTTACCTCTTTTGCTAATCGATTTTTTTGGCACATCTGTAAACAAAAACATGCACGTTTCTATTCCTCCTTCTCATCCTCTCCCTTCTCCTAAAAACTCCCATCTACACCTCCCCCTCTTCTGCGCTGAGGGTTAGGGTTAGTTACCTTTCCATTCTCCACTTTTGTATAAAGTTCTTATTTTTTACCCTCCTCCATCTTCTCTGCCTCCTTCACTTCCTCTCCTCTTCATGTGTCTCCTCCTCCTCCCTCTTAGAACGTTCTAATTTTTACCCTCCTCCATTTTCTCTGAATCCTTAAAACCTTTCTCATCATCTCTGCTTCTTCTCCTCCTCTTGTTTCCTCTGATGTCTCCTCACCTGTTGCACCTGTCGACCTCAGATCTGCAGAGAGAGTCAAACAGACTTTACACATATTTTTGGTGCTGACGTACAAACGTTCATATTTAATATCTTAATATAAATATCTTCTCTGAATGAGCTGCTGCGTCTAAATTCTACAGAGCAAGTGTTAAAAGTTGTTAACAAGGTTTGGCAGGTGTTGAGGTGTGTTTGGTTTCATTCTCCTGCTGTTGAGTTGAAGCCCTTGTTGCCTTCGTTTAACACTTAAGAGTGGAGACTGGCAGGTGAGCCGGCGGATTCAAAACGCACTCCTTCATCATCATCATCATCATCGTCATCCCTCAGTGTTCACTCTCGTCATGATTTCTTAAGATTTAGATGTCAAACTTCATTCCTAAACTTTAACGCATCCACCAGATTTGTTCCTCAAATGTCGGTGACTTTATGGATGAATTGCTGGATTAAGGTTAAAAAAAAAAATTCTGATATTTCTTTAATAATGTAATTTAAAGTTAGGCTTCAGATATCAAAATTTTTACATTTAATTGAACATTTGAAAAGGTTCGGCTATTTCAGTTAAGAGCTCCAAATAACTTGTGTCCAATCATTATAATGTGCTGTAAACGATTCAGCCAGCAGGGGGTGTAACTTCATCGAGCTACAGCAGGAAGCGAACAAGAAATCATTTCACATTCAGGATTCTTTTTGTAGATGAATCAAATGGGATCTTTATTATGAATCACGATTCTGTAGTTTGGATGAATCTACCGGTAACTTTTTAAAACGGTCACTTTAATTAATTTCATTTTTTTAAAAATTCAAAAAAAGACTTTCATTCTTCTCATTCTTCAGATTTAAAAGTCGTTTTAAATTAATATTTTAAAGTTTTCAGGTGACGTTTCCCGCTGAGAAAACTTCGATCTGGAAAATGATGTTTCTTCTTCTTCTTCTTCTTCTTCTGCAAGATGTGTTGTTTTCTTTTACAGCAACAAACATCTATAGAGTATTCAGAGCCGTTTCCAGTGGGTCGTGATAAATTTGTGACTGAATGAAGTTTGTTTTGTTTTGTCACATTTTTCCTACTGTCTGAGGTCAAAACTGCAACACTTTGTCATTAAATAAATCTGATTGGTCGAAAAATATCTGAAAATTCGGGTGGAGATTTTACTCGACAGAGTTGGTGGTCGGTCCTGAGGCTAGACGCTGGTGCAGAATTACTGAGATGGATTTGTTTTGTTGAACGATCTAACTCAAGATTGTGAATCCAGGGGCGTCGGTAGCCTAGTGGTTAGAATGCACGCCGCATGTACGGAGGCTTTAGTCCTTGAAGCAGACGACCCCGGGTTCTAAATCAAACCTGTGACACCTTTCCCCACTGTCTCTCTCGCCCCGGTTTCTGGCTCACTGTCCTATCTCTGAATTAAAGGAATAAATCAAATAATTTAAAGGTCATTTGCAGTAATTTTCACTAATTGTTGACGTTTGGCTTTGACACCTGGCGCCGATTGGTCACACCCACTTTTCTTTTTTTAAACACTGACGAAATCCTTGGGTGGAAAGGTGTTTCTTTCCCTCATCAGCTGATTTTCTTCATTATTAAAGCTTCAAGAATATTTTGCAAGCGCTAACGTTTTTGTAAGAGTCTTCTTTTTGAGTTGGCACCGATTCCTTTGAGGTTTTTTAAGATGCGGACGCAGACGTTTTGTGTGCTTATTCTTTTTAATCTCTTCTGCAGACTAACTGAATTTCTACTTTGACCAGAATCAGCCGAACACTAAATAACCTGCAGCCTCAAATACTCTGTACACCCCCAAACATGAAACTAAATATTTCTGAGTTATGCCAGAATAGCCGACATGTAAAATAACAGCAGATTCATCTTTACACATCAGAGGTAAGCAGACCAAACTGAGGGCAAAATGAACCCATGCTCTCCTGTGAAAAGGCTCCTGCTGGCAGCACAATCAGATAAATATTTGATTCCCAAATTAAATGACTAAATATGGTCTAAAGGCATCTCCGTCTCTCTGTGAGGGAGAGAGGGAGACAGGGGGAGAGGGCGAGCGAGGCAGAGTGAGCACAGGGAGAGAGAGCATACCAAACACAGGCACAACTCCACTCCATGCCCTAATTAGGAAGTTTTCCCAGAGTGCTTTGTTGTTCATTCAGTGGAGGACAGTAGTGGTGCACCGAGGGGCGATGGAGGAGGAGGGGGGGGTGATGTCACAGCTGTCACGTTTAAACCTCATAACTCCAAGTTTGGTGATTTGGATGTTTTAGTCGGAGGTTGTTGATTTTTTTCTGGATATCTCTGACTGTCAGAAGGGCTTACAAGGTTTTAACACTCCTTTATCTTCCTCAGTCTGTGGTTCACAGGGTGGGAAAACCTCGTACCTGCAGTTTTTTTTAACACACTACTACAGATGTTTAACTTTAAAGAAGAAGACTGTGGACATGTTCAGTAAAACCAGTAAAAACCTTAAGAGAAAGGCTGTCAACAATATTATTAAAAAGGACTAAAACGACATCTATTTCATAAGACAAAAAAAAACTCCTTCACACTCTCTAAATTGTACAAAAACTGTGTGTATGAATATACTTGGCTTTGTGACGATGTGAGGACAATGAAGTGACAGCTCGCTCACTCTGTGGGGACCTCAGGCGTGTCAATGTTCATTTAGGTGTTGTGTGTCCATGATTCATGTTATATTGTGTGAACACACCTGACTGCTAACTCACGCGGTTTAATGGTTGGCTTAGAAATGTGTAAACCATTTAACCCTTACCTCACTGAAATTAAACCGTTTCAGTACATCTTGGCATGTTTTGGGACCAAAATGTTGCCAGTGTTTATGTGCAATTTAGACAGTGTGCAGGAGTGTGTCTGCAATTTTTTATATTTAAAAAAGAATTACCCAATATCTCGGAATTACCCAATATCTCAGCCGTGGTATCAAACAGGTATCGATATCGTCTGATTTTTACTAGAATCAAATCAAAGTTTTAAATTCAGGAATCTTGACGACTCGACTGGACAGTGTTCCTTATTACGAAACAATAATCACAACTTCTCTCTCTCTCTCTTGCAGTGTGACTCGGTGTCGTAGTGTCGTCGTTGCTCGCCCACAGCGCCCCCTGCAGTCATGTGTGATGATGAGGAGAGCACCGCGCTGGTCTGTGATAACGGGTCCGGCTTGTGTAAGGCCGGGTTCGCCGGAGATGACGCCCCCAGAGCCGTCTTCCCCTCCATCGTGGGCCGACCCAGGCACCAGGTGAGAGAAGAGAGGAACAGGCTAATACTAATGCTAACACTGCACAATGTATACTGCTGGTTGTGTGTAGGACAGATACTGTAGAAGAAGCGGTGATTGTCTTTTAGGCCTATTCATGTGTTTAGGCCCCTCCCCCCTGCTGGACGAGGAGCGACGAAAAACAGACGGAAATTTAAAACAAACATCATCATCATCAATAATTCTCAAATGAGTTTCCCTGAGCAGGGACAATGAGCTAAACACAAAGCTAACGAACTACTAATAATTTTTTGGGTAATTCAAGAAGGTCCAAGTCACCATGCTGCCTTGGTGACTAGAAAAATGTCTTGTAATGTAAGCACCAAAAGAAGCTCAGAGGTGATGTCTGTTCATCCTTTTTGTCCAAGGAAGTGACCATATTTGGAGAAGAGGGCAGAGCTGGAAAAGAGCCTGGGAAACCCTAGCTCCACCCATTGTCTGACGTCTCTCTCTCTCTCTCTCTCTCTCTCTCTCTCTCTCTCTCAGGGAGTGATGGTGGGAATGGGGCAGAAGGACAGTTACGTCGGAGACGAGGCTCAGAGTAAAAGAGGAATCCTGACTCTGAAATATCCCATCGAACACGGAATCATCACCAACTGGGACGACATGGAGAAGGTCTCACAAACACACAGATATCCCTCTTTTAGTTTGATGTTCTCCTTCTTTTTGATCATTATTAAAAAGAAGTTAACCTCTATCTGCGCTGTGATTGGTCAGATCTGGCATCACTCGTTCTACAACGAGCTGCGAGTGGCTCCAGAGGAACATCCCACCCTGCTGACCGAAGCCCCGCTTAACCCCAAAGCCAACCGCGAGAAGATGACACAGGTACTCCTACAGAGCTACAAAGAACTCGTTCAATCCTACACATAAATGAAAGACAACACATGAACTGCATCACATCATACAGAAGCATACCATTACCCCTACTGCAGCACGGCAACATTACTTTTGGTTTGTTTTGGTTTTGGAGCGCACTTAATGTTTGCTTCAGCCACACTGGTTTTCAGAATAAAAGTCCTGATAAATGTAGTAGCTTTATCGAGGCACAGGAAGTGACCAGCTGTTAAAAATGGTGCAGAGTTTAGCGGCTAAAGAGTCAGATATTCCTTCTGTTCTGTCTCAAGGCAGCAGGAAAAGATGAATATAGTCATTAAGGTAAAGTCACTGTGACGCTTATTGAATTTATATTAAACCAATGTGTATGTGTTTCTCTGCAGATCATGTTTGAGACCTTTAATGTTCCTGCCATGTACGTGGCCATCCAGGCCGTCCTCTCTCTGTACGCCTCCGGAAGAACCACAGGTTAGACCACACTCTTCCTCTTCACTTCTCTGTGCTGTTTGCCAATATCCATCTCTGTTTGTTCATAAAAACTGAGATCTCGAAAGAAAACATTAAACCTCAGACAGTTTTTACTTTGAACTTTGTACTTTTCGATCCATAACAAATTCCTTTTTACCGTTTCTACGTTAATCTTCTAAATTTTCAGTACTTCATTTCCTTTCATAATGCAGCTGGAAGTAAGTAAATTACCCCCAGCTGAAAACAGTACAAAAATACAAAATAAAAGCCTAACAAACAATGTTTAGAAATGCAAAATAAAGGAATTTCAAACATGCGATCAATAAAGAGATTGATCACGATTAACTATTAAAATCGTCGTTAAAACTTCATTAATGACATGAGTAATTTACTCACAACATGAAACAACCACTCAGATCCTTTCTGTCTGTCTGTGCAGGTATCGTCCTGGACTCTGGTGATGGCGTCACTCACAACGTGCCAATCTACGAGGGTTACGCTCTTCCTCACGCCATCATGAGGTTGGACCTGGCAGGTCGCGACCTCACCGACTACCTCATGAAGATCCTGACAGAGCGCGGCTACAGCTTCGTCACCACTGGTACGTCTCCGCCCACACCTTTACATCAGGTAACATGACGTGTGTCTGACTCTGTGTGTGTATGTGCAGCGGAGAGAGAGATCGTGCGGGATATCAAGGAGAAGTTGTGTTACGTTGCTCTGGACTTTGAGAACGAGATGGGAACGGCGGCAACCTCGTCCTCGCTCGAGAAGAGTTACGAACTCCCGGACGGACAGGTGATCACAATCGGCAACGAGAGGTTCCGCTGCCCGGAGACACTCTTCCAGCCCTCATTCATCGGTCTGTATCGATCCAGCTATCACTTCTCCTGTCTGTCTCTCTTTCTGTAGACTCACCTGTCTGTCTGTCCCTCAGGTATGGAGTCAGCAGGTATCCATGAGACGACCTACAACAGCATCATGAAGTGTGACATCGACATTCGTAAAGACCTGTACGCCAACAACGTGCTGTCAGGAGGAACCACCATGTACCCGGGCATCGCTGACCGCATGCAGAAGGAGATCACTGCTCTGGCGCCAAGCACCATGAAGATCAAGGTCAGAGAGAAACAACAAAGATGAAGACTTTACACAAATAGCAGAAACTATTTTAATAAGGAAAAATTAGATTATTCTCTTAAAATCCCCTCAAACCATTCAGAAACCCTTTAAAATAAGTAAGAGTGCATTTAATCCCATTTGTCTATCTGTATTGGGTGTAGCCTCTAGGTCTGAAGAGGAAAGCCAATGTGCAAGTGTCTTAACCATGCATTCTCTCTTATGTCCTCCAGGGGGCGACTCCACTAGTTGTATATAAGTCTGTGATAAAATGTTCCTACTTTTCAGTTGATTTATTCCTCCAGAAAACTCCTGCACACTGTCTAACTTGCCCAAAAATGTGTTGCAATGTGTGTGTGTATGAATGTTCTTGGTTTTATAACAATGTGAGGACCATGAAGTGACCGCTCGCTCACTCTGTGGGGACCTCAGGTGTGTCAGTGTTCATTTAGGTGTTGTTTCCATGATTCATGTCATATTGTGTAAACACACTTGACAGCTTACTGACATCCCGACAGTCTCACATTGATTTCCAAATCACATTGTTTGATGGTTCACTTAGATATGTGTAAACCATTAAACACTTATCACATTGTGATAAAAAGTGCATCTTGGTATATTTCGGCACCAAAATGTTGCCAGTGTTTTTGGGTGCGTACTGTATTGAGACAGTTTGCAGGAGTATGTCTGCAATTTTTCATAGTTGAAAACAAGAAATTACCCAATATTGGGTGCTTAGGAATTCTATTGCAATGGACCTTGAGTCTAATAATAAAAGTTGATGATGATGATATTCTTGTAGCCGTGGTGTCAAACAGGTATCAGCATTGTTTGATTTTTTCTAGAATCATAGCAAATTTCAAAAATCTAATACAGTATGACAATAACTAAACACATCTTGCTTCATCAGTGCTAATGTTAGCTCATGACTGACCAAGCATTGGCCTGGTCCCTCAATCCTATTTTGTCCAGCTAAAATACCCAAACTCAAATCTATGTAACAGTAGTCTGTACACCATAGTGTTGTCATGTACCGTATTTTTAAACTTTGATATGATTCTAATAAAAATCAAATGTTATCAATTCCTGTTTGATACCACAGCCACAAAAATGGGCAAAGTCCTGTCGCGGTGCACATTGTGCAATAAAGACAGTGCGCGTTCTCTTTCTCTGGAAGCAGCTTTTGGTTAAAAATAAAAAAAGTATCTTAAGTAAAAAATAATTCATAACCCCAGTATTCCAATAAATATCAGGGTTTTTTTTACATCCAACTCTTATTAAGTCTGTTATCGCTCATTAAAAACCCCTTTAAAAAATCTGTTTTAATGATGATTATAATATTGAATAGGACTGACAGTTACCTTTGAATAACACTTCATTCGAATGTTGTCCTGCAGATCATCGCTCCCCCGGAGAGGAAGTACTCTGTGTGGATCGGCGGCTCCATCCTGGCCTCCCTCTCCACCTTCCAGCAGATGTGGATCAGCAAGCAGGAGTATGACGAAGCCGGACCCTCCATCGTCCACCGCAAGTGTTTCTAGAAAGGTCCGTCTGGGTCCCCATCTTCTTCAGCAGCCCCCCCCAACACAGTCCTATCATTGCCCTCACTGAGCACCAGCTACCAGGCCCAGATCAGCTACCAAAACAGAAGCACGAAGCATGTAAAAATAAAACTCTTTATTTGCTCCTGACAGATGGTAAAGACAAGTGATGTTGTCCTGTTTTAAAAAGTATTTTAACTGGTCAGAACTTCCTTTAGTAAATTGTGTTTTTTAGTTCAAACATCGTCCTCCTCTGCACACTTAAAACTGTGAATGTGGCGCTCAACCTCCAATCTTTAAATCTCCATCTCAACCTCCCCCTTTGCTCCACCTGCGCCCCCCGCCCCCAAATCCTCCATGTTGGTTCTGTTTCTTGTCGAAAAAGTGTTTTTATTTTTGATGAATAAAGCTTGAATGTTTCCCGCTGGTGTTATCTTCCATCGTTGGGGAGAAGAGCACATTCACACAGTTATGATGATGTCACACAGTGTTTGATGATGTCACGCAGTGTTTGATGATGTCAAAGGTGGTGCCGTCTGCATTATGAACATGTTTGAAGTGAAGCAGGTGTGTGATGTGACGACAGCTTGGAAGAGACAGACGATCGCCCCAGGACGACAATAAAGAGCTCTCATACAAGATCAATGTGTGTGTGGTTATTTAACTCTTTAGTCACTTAAAAACGGTTTCAGTCTTTTTCTTGAGTTTCTATGAAACTCTGTTTCTGTTAGCCTGAATGAATATGTATACTTACGTGTTAGAGATGTGACAAACATTGCGATAAAATAAAAAATCACACAAACATGGACAATTTTAATCGATTAGACAAAGTTTTTTTTTTTACAAAGCATACCTTTCGACCTCTCTTCTTTGACGTCAGTAGCTGAAGAGAGGCGTACAGACATGGAGGAAGCAAGTGACGATTTTGAGGTTGTGAATGCGTTTTTGTTTTATTAAGAAAGAAATAGCAATGGGTTTAAAAAAACAAAAACGTCAGATGCTGCCTGACATCCAGAAAACACTGCACCAACTTCAACACACACAAACAAACGCACACACCTGAACATTGACACGTGCTGGTGCACAAGCTGAGAACTCATCCATCTAAAGGGTAAACACTCAGTTCAACAAAATCATTTCTGCATCCCTACACAGTACTAACCTTCATAAGACAGGTGTGTAGGAGTGGCATCAATCCTTCAAATGTTATAATGTTTATAATAAAAATAAGGAAATCTGAAAATAAAGATTTGAGTTTTTCTTCATCTGGAAACTCAATTGAGATTACAAGAGTGACAATTTGGAAATTTAACAGAAACTTGTTTTAATTTTTCCAGCAAATGTGTTAATTTTATTTGTTGGTTAGAGTCTGTGGCTCTGTGAAGCCGACAGCTGATTGGTTCAGTGTGACTATCTGCACTGTGAAACAATGCTGACGTCTCCTCAAATGTAAGATCTGATGGTTTCTCCCTCCATGCTGACTAAATAACAAATTATCATAAAAACAAAAATTCCATAAAATCTCAGATTTTCTGTCAAAGGAGAAAACAGGAAAGCACCAAGTCAATATTCATGGTTAAATTCAGGTGTTGTTTTTCCAAAAGAAGGCACTCCGTCACTTCAACTTTCACAAAAAACTTTGTATTTGTTCTTCATTACAACACGTCACATCTTACACCGCAGGAGAATTCTGATGCAGCAAAATAAAACAGCAAAAATATAAATTTATATCAAAGTACAACCAGGAGCTGATTACAAAAGCACAAATACATTTTGTAGAACAAATCTCACAAAAAGGCCCAGAAACCTGAACGCTGAATGTGTTAAAACGTTTCCTTCAAAAAAGTTTAATTTCCCTCATCTGCTCACACACACATGCACACACACTCACACACACACACACATTCACAGTTTCAAAGGACAAACAGCTTTTCAGTAAACGGACAGACAGCGACCCCTGTCTGTCACCTGAGGTCCAACAAGCTGATTTTTGATTCTTTCACCACCACATGTTTGCACACCTGAGAGGGCGAGAGACAGAGGGAGAGAGAGACAGAAGGTTAAATAATTTTAGTTGAAGCATCGAGTGTGAATAAACTTAAAAGAATCAAATAAATTTAAAGGTACAGTTAAACATTTTTAAAATATTAATTTTCTCTGTTTTAGTTTGAAAGCATCCAAATCCAACATGTTTTCATAATGTGGACATGTACAGGAGCTTTGTTCTGTTGCCGTGGTATCAAACTGATCAGAATGTTTCTCACAGTAAAGAGAGCTGGCTCCTTGGAGTGAGGATGGAAACCTTTCAGTCTGCAGCCAGAAACCTCCGACATCCCCGAACCCGTTAGCTTGAACACACCAGTACTGAGAGAGAGAGAGAGGAGTCGGTTAAAAAATCTGAGGTTAAATCCCACCTCATGAAAAAGAAAAATCCTTCCTACATCTGTGATGTTCTTTATCTTTAAGTTACAGTCTCTGTACAGTTATCTGATGAATGTTTCATATTTAGATCATCAGATAAAAAATACAACATGGCAGCAGTGTCTTAAATGAAGACAAATACATTTAGGAAAAAACAGCCTGTGAGTCCCCCCCTCCCCCCTAAAAAAAGAAGAAAATGTGTACATTTCGTTTAAATGTTTCACTGAAAAAACGATATCATCAAAAAAAACAACAATCTCTTCTTCATTTGTGTTACATTTTGCTGAAAGGAGTCATTCTGTGTGTATATAGTATATTCTGTATGTATGCGTGTGTGTGCTGGACCCACTCGTTGTGTTTGGGTGCGCAGACGATGGCGATGGCCTCCGGCAGCATCAGCTGATATGAACAGTGTGTGTGGAGGTCGACACTGGAGAGGAAGGCCGTCTGAGTGGGATGAGTCTGAACACAGAGACACGCAAGGGACGAAGGTAACACACTAAACATAACGTCAGATGTTGTTTGAACTCATTACCAATATGTTTCTCTTAAAAGTAGTCTGTGCTCCTCCTCATCGGGCAACGTGTCTGCACCAAAACATACCGAAATAATCTTCTATGTAATGTAACCGTGTAAACCATCAAACAGTGTGAGGCTGACACGATGTCAGTCAGCTGTCAGGTTTGTACTCACACTATGTAATATGAATCATGGACACCAAACACCTAAATAAACACTGACACACCTGAGGTCCCCACAGAGTGAGTGAGCTGTCACTTTATGGTCCTCACATCGTTATAAAAACAAGGACACACACACACAGATTCACAAATACAGTCATTATTTTTGTCCAATTTAGACGAAAGCAGCAGTTCCTCTCCTACACACCTGTGTTTGCAAATAGATGTAGTTGACACTCCATCCATTTTTTCTTCTAGTTGTTATTTCCTGTTTTATTTTGGTACTTACCCTCATCTGTGTCTTCCAGGTACTGTTTCTCTCGTTTCCCGCTTGTTCAGCCCCGCCCTGGTTAAACATACCTACATTTCATTCCCCCTTGATTGTCTGTGTATTTATTCCCTCCTCATCCTACCAGTTTGCTCGTGAATTTTTCTGTGAATGATTTCCGCCTAATTTTTTGACCCTACCTTTGCCTGCTCCTAAGGATTTGTTTGCTGATTTGATTGGTTTTTCCATGTACCGAACCAGACTGAATAAACACCTGCCTGATTTTAATCTGCCACTGTGGAGTCTTGAGTCCATTGTGTTTACTTGGTAGTTGTCAGTAATAGTAACATTTTCAATCATTAAAATAACAGATTGTATAAATGTTAGATACAGTACCGAGAAAAGTACTGAAGTACTTCACATTTAAACAACCTTACTCGTATGTCCTGTGTTTTGAACACATGAGATTCATATAAAATGTTCTTTTAAGTGGTCAGAAAATGTCTAAGTCAAAGAATGTAATGTGAATTTCAGCTAATATTAAAACAATGATTTCTGCTGCTGAGTGAGACCTCTGTCCGCGTTTCCTATCTCTGCCCCTCTCACTCTTGTCATCTGCACTGTTGCCATGGTGATATTTGATCATGGAAATGAAGGGTAGAAAAAGTACAACAGAGGTAATTTTGTCTGTGTGTGTGCATGATTAGTGGTTTTGTGTGTGTGTGTGTGTGTGTGTGTGTGTGTGTGTGTGTGTGTGTGTGTGTGTGTGTGCATGAATAGTGGGTGTGTCCTTGGTTTTATAACGATGTGAGGACCATTAAGTGACAACTCACTGTCTCTGTGGGGACCTCAGGTGTGTCAGTGTTTATTTAGGTGTTATGTGTCCATGATTCATATTACATAGAGTGAACACACACCTGACAGCTGACTGTCACACTGTTTAATGTACAGTTATGTTAGATGCACCTGAACACATCACTTACATCCCGAGGACTCAAACCTGACGAGTGTTCAGCTTAAGTTTAGCGTACGTGTAGCATGTTTGTTCTTGATGATCTTACATGAATCCAGCCGAGTGTCAGCAGGTTCTGTTGGTCCTGGAAACTGAACAGTTCCTCCACGTTCTCCATGTCGCAGAAATCAGGACCAGCCGACTGTTTGGGGATGACGACGTGGGTCAACATGAACTCGTTGTGCGTCTGAGGACGAGAGCCAATCACAAAGCGAGAGGAGAAAACCAGAGAGAGGGAAACATGAGATCTCCACTTGGGTTGTCATTTTTATACTTCCATAACGTTCTAGTCAAAATCAAACCATTTATTGTAACCTGTTTTAATAACATGGTGACAAAAATAGAAGTCCTTGACACCCTATATGGCTAAAAAAACATTTTCTGAATGTGTAACCAAATGTGTTTTTCTGCAATTTAGATAGTGTGTAGGAGTTTGCAAACAGTTTGTGATGAATTCATTCCTCTCCTATGCACCTTTCTAACTAAATAGATGTAAGTTTAAGGGCTTTATATGTGGTTTTTCACACTTAAATAGAAATCAAGTATATCCTCTGAAAGTAACTCTGTGAGTCATGACTGTCTACAATGGGTGTAACACCCGAGTCCCACTGTCTGTGATGTTTTCAGAGTCCTATCTTCACTTTGTTTACATCGCCGGGACAGCCAGCTGACTCCTCCCCTCATGTATAAAAGTTGTTTAATTGAGGGACTAGAGAAAAGAAGAATAACATACTGTACTCACTGCTTAACTGTGTTTCTAGATCACACTCATTTCAGGTAAATTTACATGCAGTGTGAAGATACCAGCATAATAAAGATCGCTAGCATTAGCATGCTAACACAACAATGCACCGCGAGCCTTTAAGTCATTTTCGATACTAACAATCGTTGAAATAACGGAGATTGTACTGTGAACGGATGTATAAAAATGCATCAACTTTAGGAAAGAAAAACTCCATCACAACAACCAAAACTCCAGCAGAAGAGCGCCACATCTTAAAGCAGTGGCCAAAGTCAGAATTACAACTTATGTCATCTATATGAACCCAACAGGACCTGTAAATAAATAATTATTTATTTACTTATTTTTAGTAAATAAATAGTAAAATAAATTGCAACTCAATTGTTGATACTTTGTAAACTAATCGATATATTTATAAGACCTGTAATGATTTATATATATTTTTTAGATATCGCACCAGAGTATTGTCAGCCGATTTAGGAAAGACAACTCGTTAACTACATGCAAGCAAACAAAAGAATCCAGAGCTGTGTGCACATGGTGATCAGGTTTGGGGTTGTATGGTAAGAAGTGGCATAAATAATAAATACCCATGTAAGTATAAATACCTCATATTTGTACTTGAGTATTAAATGTATATGTAAACAGTCAGTAAACAGGAAACAGTCTTACCAGTCGTCCACAGAGGACTCCACAAGTCTCGATTCCTCGAGTTGTGTTCGAGTCGGCGAGCAGGAGGAAACGATATGTCAGATCTCTGGGAATTACCACCCGCCTCAGACCCTCCACTCTCTGAGCTACACACACACACACACACACACACACACACACACACACACACACGTAAGTATATTAAATACAAACAGCATACAGGTCGTGGTTGTAAGGTTCTATCGGGTGCTTACTGTGTACTCCAGCCAGCGTGGCGGCTGGTTGGCTGATGGGAGCTTGTGGCCTGTTCCTGTTAGGATCCGCCCCTTGAGTCCGAACGTTGTTTCTGATTGGCTTCTTGGACAGACAGGAGCCGTCTGTCACCTCAGGCACTTTGTTGTCCGCCTGCGGGAGAGACACTTTACTGCAAAAATACTACACTGAATACACTAAGACTGATCTGAACTCGGCTCCTGAAGATTCTCAGAGATTCCAAGTCGTAATAACGACTTCAGCGGGCGTTCCAGTTGACACTTCCGACTGGGAACTCGGAATTCCTGACTTCTGAGATCAACTTGAACGCAGCATAAGTTACAGCACTTTTGCGGCTTCTTCAAGATCTAACAGTTTCTGATTTTTGAATGGTCGATTCAGAAGCGCAGACATTGTATTATTGGTCGTAGTTTTGTAGTCCAGTATTGCCTGCATCTCACCTTTGGCTCTGCCTCCTCTTCTCTCCTATTGGCCAGTTCCTGCCGCCTCAGCTGGTCCTCAAAGTATCTGAACTGTTCGGATTCTATCTGCATCCGTCGCAGAGCGGCGACTCGCTGTTTCTCCTCCTCCAACATCAGGAAACGCCTCCTGTCATCGTCCAATAGGGAGAGTCGCTGCAGCTGCTGGTCACACCCATCCACCACCACGGGCTGGCTCTGAGCAAACAGGAATAATCATAATAACTTAACTTATAAAGCAACTTTTAAAATGAGTTACATAATGCTTTAACAGAAAAATCAGGACAAACAGAGACAGGTCTTTAAAATGAAATCTACACAGAAGGTCGACAAGAACGACGCAAATAAAAGTAGTTAAAGAGATAAAACATGAAAGGTAGTTAAAATACTTAAATAAATTAAGTAATACTAAACATTATACAAAGACTACAAGACGATGACATCACATCAGGGGAAATAAAACAAAGATAAAAAAGAGGTAAATCAGTTAATAAATAAAAGCAATAAATGACAACTAGAAGAGGAAGGATTAAAAACAGATAAATAGATGAAGAACAGTAAAACAAATAAAGGAAAAAGTAACAGATACATAATTTCAATCATTTTACATTCGATCAACTTTCTTAAAAGGTCACATATTCTGTAAAATCCCCCAATGATGAGAAAAGTCCATCCTCTCCGTCTTCTTCCTGCTCCACTTTTCAGAAAATGTGTGCTCAAACAGACCGTTTGGAGATTTTCCCTTCATGACATCACAAAGGGCAGTAGTCCCTCCCCCAGGTGGGTGACACTCCCACAGCTAGGTGTTTGTTCTGCCCTCTGAGTCTGCCTTCTCACTGTAAACAATAGGACATGGAGCGAGAAAGACCGAGACACCCAAGCCCTTCCAGAGAGGGGGCGTGGTCAGACACAGCTCATTTACATATTTAAAGGTACAGACACAGAAACAGCCTGTTCTGAGCAGGGCTGAAATAGAGGGGTTTATAGACATGATCAAATACAGGATCAGAGTGGATTTAGAACAAGAAACTTGTCACACCACACCACACCACACCACACCACACCACACCACACCACACCACACCACACCACACCACACCACACCACACCACACCACACCACACACACACACACACACACACACACACACACACACACACACACACACACACACACACACACACACACACACACACACACCTGGGCTCTGAGGTACTCGCTGTGTTCCCTGCTGTATTTTTCCTGAAGACGTTTCTTCAACTCGTCTTTACGAGGAAACGCGACTTCCTGAAGTTTCTACAGAGACGACCGCAAAGGAATTATAAAAATGAAAAAGCGCAAATAACTACAAATGAATCAATCAGATGTTTTTCTCTTCTTCTTCTTATTATTATTTGTAATGAATATTTTGTACCTTCATGATGAGCTGCTTCTCGGGGACGCTGCACTGCTGGTAGTCTCTGTGACCGGGCAGCTTCTCCACAAACAGCCTGAACACAAACACAGGTATGATCCCTCGTTTACTCTCGTCTGTAATCAATAAAATAAATAAATAAATCTGATTGGTCGTCGGTCGGCCTCACGTGATGAACTTGGTGTAGAGGACGTAGGCGTTCTCCAGACTGCCCTCCTCCAGGTAAACCGCCGCCATCCGCTCCATCTCCACGCCGGAGCGGAAGTAACGTCTCGGCTCGATGTCCTCGTTGATCTCCACGCTGTAGCCCATCTTCCCCAGCGCCCGCACACGCTCCGCCGCCGTCAGAGACACGTCCGTGTAGTCGGCCTCTGCTGCTAGCTTCTTCTGCAGAACACACACACACACACACACACACACACACACACACACACACACACACACACACACACACACACACACACACACACACACACACACACACACACACACACACACACACACACACAGGTCAGAGCTGAGCAGGAGTTGTACACAGGAAGTTGAGTTTTTAGATTTTGGTTCATATTTTTAACCAAACGAGAGAGAGGGTGCAGCTGACCCTTGACCCCTCGCTCCTCTCCTGCTGACCCTCTGATCAAAATGTTGCCAAGGGCGCGCTGGTGGTGTAATGATTAGGGCGTGCGTCCCATGTGTTGAGACTCTCGTCTCGAGCGGCAGGCCCGGGTTCGCCTCCACCCGTGGCCCCTTTCCACATGTCATTCCCCGCTCTCTCTCCCTGGTTTCAGACTCTATCCACTGTCCTCTCTCTCTGGTTTCAGACTCTATCCACTGTCCTCTCTCCCTGGTTTCAGACTCTATCCACTGTCCTCTCTCTCTGGTTTCAGACTCTATCCACTGTCCTCTCTCTCTGGTTTCTGACTCGATCCACTGTCCTCTCTCTCTCTGGTTTCAGACTCTATCCACTGTCCTCTCTCTCTCTCTGGTTTCAGACTCTATCCACTGTCCTCTCTCTCTCTCTGGTTTCAGACTCTATCCACTGTCCTCTCTCTCTCTGGTTTCAGACTCTATCCACTGTCCTCTCTCTCTCTCTGGTTTCAGACTCTATCCACTGTCCTCTCTCTCTCTGGTTTCTGACTCTATCCACTGTCCTCTCTCTCTCTCTGGTTTCAGACTCTATCCACTGTCCTCTCTCTCTCTGGTTTCAGACTCTATCCACTGTCCTCTCTCTCTCTGGTTTCAGACTCTATCCACTGTCCTCTCTCTCTGGTTTCAGACTCTATCTACTGTCCTCTCTCTCTCTGGTTTCAGACTCTATCCACTGTCCTCTCTCTCGCTCTGGTTTCTGACTCGATCCACTGTCCTCTCTCTCTCTGGTTTCAGACTCTATCCACTGTCCTCTCTCTCTCTCTGGTTTCAGACTCTATCCACTGTCCTCTCTCTCTCTGGTTTCAGACTCTATCCACTGTCCTCTCTCTCTCTGGTTTCAGACTCTATCCACTGTCCTCTCTCCCTGGTTTCAGACTCTATCCACTGTCCTCTCTCTCTCTCTGGTTTCAGACTCTATCCACTGTCCTCTCTCTCTGGTTTCTGACTCGATCCACTGTCCTCTCTCTCTCTGGTTTCAGACTCTATCCACTGTCCTCTCTCCTGGTTTCAGACTCTATCCACTGTCCTCTCTCTCTCTCTGGTTTCAGACTCTATCCACTGTCCTCTCTCTCTGGTTTCTGACTCGATCCACTGTCCTCTCTCTCTCTGGTTTCAGACTCTATCCACTGTCCTCTCTCTCTCTGGTTTCAGACTCTATCCACTGTCCTCTCTCTCTCTCTGGTTTCAGACTCTATCCACTGTCCTCTCTCTCTCTCTCTCTGACTCTATCCACTGTCCTCTCTCTCTCTGGTTTCAGACTCTATCCACTGACATCTCTCTCTCTGGTTTCAGACTCTATCCACTGTCCTCTCTCTCTCTCTGGTTTCTGACTCTATCCACTGTCCTCTCTCTCTGGTTTCAGACTCTATCCACTGTCCTCTCTCTCTCTCTGGTTTCTGACTCTATCCACTGTCCTCTCTCTCTCTCTGGTTTCTGACTCTATCCACTGTCCTCTCTCTCTCTGGTTTCAGACTCTATCCACTGTCCTCTCTCTCTCTCTGGTTTCAGACTCTATCCACTGTCCTCTCTCTCTCTGGTTTCAGACTCTATCCACTGTCCTCTCTCTCTCCCTGGTTTCAGACTCTATCCACTGTCCTCTCTCTCTCTGGTTTCAGACTCTATCCACTGTCCTCTCTCCTCTGGTTTCAGACTCTATCCACTGTCCTCTCTCTCTCTGGTTTCTGACTCTATCCACTGTCCTCTCTCTCTGTTCAGACTCTATCCACTGTCCTCTCTCTCTCTCTGACTCTATCCACTGTCCTCTCTCTCTCTCTGGTTCTGACTCTATCCACTGTCCTCTCTCCTCTGGTTTCAGACTCTATCCACTGCTCCTCTCTCTCTCCTCTGGTTTCAGACTCTATCCACTGTCCTCTCTCTCTGGTTTCAGACTCTATCCACTGTCCTCTCTCTCTCTGGTTTCAGACTCTATCCACTGTTCCTCTCTCTCTCTGGTTTCAGACTCTATCCACTGTCCTCTCTCTCCTCTGGTTTCAGACTCTATCCACTGTCCTCCTCTCTCTCTGGTTTCAGACTCTATCCACTGTCCTCTCTCTCTCTCTGGTTTCAGACTCTATCCACTGTCCTCTCTCTCTCTGGTTTCAGACTCTATCCACTGTCCTCTCTCTCTCTGGTTTCAGACTCTATCCACTGTCCTCTCTCTCTCTGGTTTCAGACTCTATCCACTGTCCTCTCTCTCTCTGGTTTCAGACTCTATCCACTGTCCTCTCTCTCTCTGGTTTCAGACTCTATCCACTGTCCTCTCTCTCTCTGGTTTCAGACTCTATCCACTGTCCTCTCTCTCTCTGGTTTCTGACTCTATCCACTGTCCTCTCTCTCTCTGGTTTCAGACTCTATCCACTGTCCTCTCTCTCTCTGGTTTCAGACTCTATCCACTGTCCTCTCTCTCTCTCTGGTTTCAGACTCTATCCACTGTCCTCTCTCTCTCTGGTTTCAGACTCTATCCACTGTCCTCTCTCTCTCTGGTTTCAGACTCTATCCACTGTCCTCTCTCTCTCTCTGGTTTCTGACTCTATCCACTGTCCTCTCTCTCTCTGGTTTCTGACTCTATCCACTGTCCTCTCTCTCTCTGGTTTCTGACTCTATCCACTGTCCTCTCTCTCTCTGGTTTCACTCTATCCACTGTCCTCTCTCTCTCTGGTTTCTGACTCTATCCACTGTCCTCTCTCTCTCTCTCTGGTTTCTGACTCTATCCACTGTCCTCTCTCCTCTGGTTTCAGACTCTATCCACTGTCCTCTCTCTCTCTCTGGTTTCTGACTCTATCCACTGTCCTCTCTCTGGTTTCAGACTCTATCCACTGTCCTCTCTCTCTGGTTTCTGACTCTATCCACTGTCCTCTCTCTCTCTCTGGTTTCTGACTCTATCCACTGTCCTCTCTCTCTCTGGTTTCAGACTCTATCCACTGTCCTCTCTCTCTCTGGTTTCAGACTCTATCCACTGTCCTCTCTCTCTCTGGTTTCAGACTCTATCCACTGTCCTCTCTCTCTCTGGTTTCAGACTCTATCCACTGTCCTCTCTCTCTCTCTGGTTTCTGACTCTATCAACTGTCCTCTCTCTCTCTGGTTTCAGACTCTATCCACTGTCTCTCTTCTCTCTGGTTTCTGACTCTATCCACTGTCCTCTCTCTCCTGGTTTCAGACTCTATCCACTGTCCTCTCTCTCTCTCTGGTTTCAGACTCTATCCACTGTCCTCTCTTCTCTCTGGTTTCTGACTCTATCCACTGTCCTCTCTCTCTCTGGTTTCAGACTCTATCCACTGTCCTCTCTCTCTCTGGTTTCAGACTCTATCCACTGTCCTCTCTCTCTCTGGTTTCTGACTCTATCCACTGTCCTCTCTCTCTCTGGTTTCAGACTCTATCCACTGTCCTCTCTCTCTGGTTTCTGACTCTATCCACTGTCCTCTCTCTCTCCTGGTTTCTGACTCTATCCACTGTCCTCTCTCTCTCTGGTTTCAGACTCTATCCACTGTCCTCTCTCTCTCTGGTTTCGACTCTATCCACTGTCCTCTCTCTCTCTGGTTTCTGACTCTATCCACTGTCCTCTCTCTCTCTGGTTTCTGACTCTATCCACTGTCCTCTCTCTCTCTGGTTTCTGACTCTATCCACTGTCCTCTCTCTCTCTGGTTTCTGACTCTATCCACTGTCCTCTCTCTCTCTGGTTTCTGACTCTATCCACTGTCCTCTCTCTCTCTGGTTTCTGACTCTATCCACTGTCCTCTCTCTCTCTCTGGTTTCAGACTCTATCCACTGTCCTCTCTCTCTGGTTTCTGACTCTATCCACTGTCCTCTCTCTCTCTGGTTTCAGACTCTATCCACTGTCCTCTCTCTCTCTCTGGTTTCTGACTCTATCCACTGTCCTCTCTCTCTCTGGTTTCTGACTCTATCCACTGTCCTCTCTCTCTCTGGTTTCTGACTCTATCCACTGTCCTCTCTCTCTCTGGTTTCAGACTCTATCCACTGTCCTCTCTCTCTCTGGTTTCTGACTCTATCCACTGTCCTCTCTCTCTCTGGTTTCAGACTCTATCCACTGTCCTCTCTCCTCTGGTTTGACTCTATCCACTGTCCTCTCTCTCTCTGGTTTCTGACTCTATCCACTGTCCTCTCTCTCTCTGGTTTCAGACTCTATCCACTGTCCTCTCTCTCTCTGGTTTCTGACTCTATCCACTGTCCTCTCTCTCTCTGGTTTCAGACTCTATCCACTGTCCTCTCTCTCTCTGGTTTCAGACTCTATCCACTGTCCTCTCTCTCTCTGGTTTCAGACTCTATCCACTGTCCTCTCTCTCTCTGGTTTCAGACTCTATCCACTGTCCTCTCTCTCTCTGGTTTCTGACTCTATCCACTGTCCTCTCTCTCTCTGGTTTCTGACTCTATCCACTGTCCTCTCTCTCTCTGGTTTCAGACTCTATCCACTGTCCTCTCTCTCTCTGGTTTCAGACTCTATCCACTGTCCTCTCTCTCTCTGGTTTCAGACTCTATCCACTGTCCTCTCTCTCTCTGGTTTCTGACTCTATCCACTGTCCTCTCTCTCTCTGGTTTCTGACTCTATCCACTGTCCTCTCTCTCTCTGGTTTCAGACTCTATCCACTGTCCTCTCTCTCTCTGGTTTCTGACTCTATCCACTGTCCTCTCTCTCTCTGGTTTCAGACTCTATCCACTGTCCTCTCTCTCTCTGGTTTCAGACTCTATCCACTGTCCTCTCTCTCTCTCTGGTTTCTGACT